AGACAGAGCCTCAAGCTGTTGCCCTGGGTAGAGTGCTGTGGCATCACGGCTCACAGCAACCTCCAACTCCTGAGCTTAAGCGATTCTCTTGCCTCAGCCTCCCAAGTAGCTGGGACTATAGGCACCCACCACACAGCCCCCGGCTGTTTTTTAGTTGTAGTTGTCATTGTTGTTTGCCAGGCACAGGCTGGATTCGAACCCGCCAGCTCTGGTGTATGTGGCTGCACCTTAGCCGATTGAACTACAAGCGCTGAGCCCCTTCCTCTAGTTCTTGCCTGTACCCATTCATCAGTTTGTAAGGGTGGTTTCACTTCTACAAAAAGCCTCTTGAAGTTGAAAAGCATTATTTTTGCCTTAGTTATAAAACTCAACAGTTTCATAATCTCAGCTACACTGATAAAGTTCCTTAGTGCATCTTTATGCTCCTGAGGTGGTAGGGCCAGGGGTTGGTTTCAGCTTGTCTGGAGTCCTAGGAGGTTCAGGTTGTCTGGTGGCCTCCGTGAGGAATGTGGCCTGGGCACCTTTAATTCAGATGTGAATGGGGGCTTGGTGTGCTCTGTAGGGGGTACTAGCCCCCAGCCAGGGAGAGGGTTTCCAGCCCTCAGGAAGATCACAGCCTTTTGATGAAAGAAGAGGTGCAGTTTACTTAGTGGAATTCAGCTGCACCAAAAGATGACTAACCTGGCCCTCTTCTTCCAAAGAGATCGGTATATAAAATCTTAACCCCATGAAAGTTGTTCTCCTGGAGCGCTTATTAGTGTTAGCTGCTTAGGCAGGAAATCACTGATAGGAGTGTGCAGCACAGAGCCATCCCAGGGCGTGGAGGGTCTCAGGTGGCCTGCCTCCAGTTTGAGTGAGGGTGCGCTGAGTGGGAGGAGATCGCCAGCAGTCAGGACGGGCTCCAGGCAGCTGGTGAGGACTGTCGGGGGCGGGGAGGACCTCTACTTTCCCTAAATTTCTAACAGGGAAGTGGCAAAGGAGAGTAGCGAAGGGGCTGCCATTTGAGTGCAGGACCTAATTTGCAAAGCATTTTACATGTTTTCTGATTTTTATCTTTATAACAATTTTGAGGCAAAAATTGCTACCTCCAATTTGCAGATGACAGAACTGAGTTTCAGGATACTCAGGCTAGAGGCAAGGAAGTAGTAGAGATTGACCCCAAGTCTGCCTGCCCCAAAGTCATGCTATTTCTGGTAACCTCTGTGCTTCGGCCCACGTTATGTCAGGGTCTGTGCAGTGGGTAACTGGATTTGATTTTTTTAAAAGTACCATACTATGATTGTTACATAAATTGTCATATGAGATAGAAATAAGGCTGTGTTGGTGTTTTAAAACAAAGTTTGAAAACTTACAGCTTGATAAATGTGGGCAACATAATTTAGGGTAAGAAAGAGTTATTTGGTGACGTCAGAGAAGATAAAATCTAATGAAAATTCACTTGCTTGTCTTTTTCTGTCTCCTAAAACAGGACACTCCTGGGTTTATTGTGAACCGTCTCCTGGTGCCGTATCTCATGGAGGCAATCAGGCTGCATGAACGAGGTATCTATCCTGACCCCAGCTGGGCGCAGCAGGTGGTCGCTGGTCCTGGTGCTACTGTCTCCTGTTCTCACACAGTATCTGCCTGCGCCTGGATCCTGGTACCTTTGTTCTTGTGTTCCCAGAGCCCCCTGGGTTGCCTATGAAGCCTCAAATGGCTCTGGGACCACCCCCTACTCCTCAACTATAGTCCCAACCAGAACTGATATGACCCAGATTTATATCCTGAATCTCTGTTAAAAGGTTTACTCCCAAAATAATCAAAATGTAAATATTACTAGGCTAGGGGATCTTTTAAAGTTCCTTAAGGTTCTAAAACTTGTGATTGTATGACAGTTGACGAGAAATACATGACAAGGTCAATATGTACTAAGGATGGTTTTTAAAAGTCTGTTGTCCATTCTTACTGAATGATGCTGTGATAATTTTTTTTAACCTTAAGAATGGTCTCAGTTTTTTCCTTAGTATGTGATTGACAAAGAATGATTTTTCCTCATGGTGAAAATATTAGACTTGGGCTGGGGTCCAGGGTTCTAAATTGATCTGCACCTTCCTGTCTACCTTTCCTCCTCTGTTTCTGGAAAGGAAGCGATCATGTCTGCCTCTAAGGCAAACAAGCCTTAATAGGACTGGATGAAAAGCAAGTGTAATTGTTTTCAATTATAATATTTCATTCACAAATGCTTGCTCCTGAGAATGTCATTTTTGAAACAAAACATTTATACCGGCTCTTCCAGAGAGATGAAAGCACATTTGCTTCCTCAAAATCTGCTTTAAATATTAAAACTTTTCTCTATGGTTTGTGGAAGCAATTGCCTCACTTTTGCTCCAAGATCAAACCAACACTTCTGTGTTTATCTATCAACAAATATGCCTAATTACACCTCAAAGAAAGTGCGAAGCATTTTGCCCTACCTTGAAAGGCAGTTATGTGGCTTTTTAAAATAAAACGTAATGTTTTAGAATGTAGCATGCGGGTGATCCACCTCTTACTGGTGTTCCCACTGAAGCACACTGTCCCTTTGACACATTCCCAGATGCTTCGTGTCTGAAGGTGAGGGAAAGCCCTCTTCCTACCTGCTGCCCACCAGCAGGATCCTTTTGTGCACAGGTAGATGCCCTTGGACCTGCACCATTGCTGGCCCCCTGTGAGGAGCAGGACCTGACCCCACGGGACACACTCTGAGCTCACTCTTGGCACTGCCCCCGCCAGCCTGTTGTTGTCCCTGTGCCTCCTGTCCACAGCCCTCGTGCCTGTGAGGGAGGCAGGTGTCCTGTCTCGGCAGGACCAGTTCCTCCAGTCCACACTGTGGGGGATAGACTCCTGTGTCACACTTCAGGCCTCTCACCCTGTCCCTTCTGCTGCCCCACTGCTGCTCCCTCAGCCAGCACAGAGGCATGCTTAGGCACAAGCCCCCCACCCGGCTTCTGAGCCCCGACTGACCTGAAGCAACTCCACTGTGGAGCCAGAAGCCTGTGGGTGTTCCTGTGGGTGGCCTCACCTGCTGTTCACTCCAACCCCTCCCTGTACTGCCTATTGCACCTTCCCCTCCAGCTCTCCCTGTTCCAGGCTGGCCAGCCTAGGGCTGCTCCTTCAGGCGTTACCTCATGTCTTTTCCAAATGGGTCTCTGCCACTGTGCTTGCTGAGACAGTGTCCCGTTGTTCTGCAAGCTGAGACACTGCATACTATATCTGCACCCCTGGGGACATCTCAGGGTCCAGCAGCATGACAAAGCCTCTGCAGATGCCCTGGGACTTCATTTCTGAGCTCATCTGGAAGAACCTTCTATGCCATACTGTGGACACACTTAGGGGATGGGTGCCACAAGCACATGGGTTGATAATGCTGCCTTGAGTGACAGCAGCTCATAGGAAGGTTGTATGGACTACTGTCCAACCAGGCCTCCTGGACAGCTAGGCCCCTGCCAGCCAGCACTTGGTACTGACTCCCCCTGGGACCTGGTGGAGGCCTGTTGCCCATGCTGTCTGAGTGCCTCTCAGTTTCTCCCGTCTTTGTAGTCACTCTTTCTATTGTTTTCATTCTTTTGTACTGCAATAGAGGCCTGATGGGTGCATCTGTCACTGTCACCTCTGTAGGTCAAAAGGGACCTCTGTAGGCAGGGTAGGCAGGTGACCACTCTTACAGGTACATGCTGGTGGGAGTGGCAGGGCCCTAGTCAGCTCTTCTCAGGAGGCCCTGCCAATAACAGGCCCTGGGAGCACCCCAGTCCTGTGGGCCACCCTGCTTACATTATCACCCCTGCTCAGGACAGGTTCAATGGTTCTGTGGTAACCTGCCATCTATAAGTCTTGCCAAAGAACCTTGCTTCTCCTTACCCGCTGCCCCTGCTGTCACCCACACAGACTGTACTCCCTCCTTTCTCACAAAGGCTCACCTGAGTGTCTGCAGTGCTCTGAGCTGAACATAATCTTCTGTTCTCATAACTGTACTTTAGCTGGTCCTTGGGTCACTGGCCACTTTTTTCTCAGGGACATGGTATGGGTCTTCTTTCTCTTACACAGTTTTCTTTTCTGGACCAGCATGTGAATCCTCCTCATCTTCATGCCCTGCAAAGTGCTTTCATAAGATGGGCATTTAAGGAATGCTGCTGAATGAAGTGGTGTTCCTGATATTGTTGCTGGGAGCCTCTGTTGCTTGTGCTAAGGATGGTTGGCAGGTGGTGCTGCTGAGCCAGCCGAGGAAGCAGATGTGGGGCAGGTCCCAGGGCTCCAGCCACACATCTGGGCTTTGCTCTGTTGTGTAGAGTTAGGGGCCCTTAACTGGAGGGAGGTGGGAAGGTATGTTCCATGAACCTCCTGAAACGGAGGCAAAATTTTATGTGTATGTGTATTTTTTATGGAGAGGGTGTCAGACTCTCAGAGAAGTACTAACTTCAAAGAAGTTGAGAGATTACTGGTCTAAAACATGAGCCCACGTTTAGCTCTCTTGGCACACTGATCTATGGGTATTCTGTCTCTCTCTCTCTGCATTTTGCCTCTTTTGCTCTGTATGACTCAGAACAGAATTTTTAGAGCTGTGCTGACTTGGTAGTACTGTTTAGATGTTTTTCTATGAGGTGTGCTGTTATCTTCATATTATTTTTTGAAATAGTCCTCAAGTGAGTTTTGTCTTTAGGGTTTATTGTCATGTCCTTGAATGTAGATTTGATTAAATGGCTTTAGGTGAGTTGGAACATTTATGCTGTCAGGTTTCTGTCCCTTGAGAGACTAGCCTAATGAATGACCCATACATGAACATAGGTTGTGAGTAGTAATTGTGCAGGATGGCAGGAGTTCTAGCCTAGGGTCCTGGCAGGTGCTATTTTGTATGCAGGGAGGAGTGGGGCTTTTTAATGCTGTGACACCTGAGCAGAGGCCTGAAGGAAGGAAGAGGTTGGGCCAGAAGGTGTCTGAGAGGAGTGCCGGGGCACAGGGAGCAGGAGCTAAACCCTGAGAGAAGGCAGAAGTGCCTCCCCAGGAGGCAGTCACTGTCTGCATTCCAGGAGCTGCCAGCACTGGAGCCTTGGGAACTAATGCAATCCTCTTGAGTAGAACCCACTTTGAGCTCCCATTATGTCCTGAGTATCTTGAGTGTTTTTTTTCTTTGTCTCTGTGTCTCTGGTGCCTATTAAATAATAGATATCAATAAAAGTTGAACAAATGAGTGATGAATGAGGGTGATATATATATAGTATTTTTGTTTGCTTTGCTTTCTTATGGCTTGAAACTCAAGTCATGATTTCTCAGGAGCTTCTAATCCTAATTAGCATGCTGTTAATAATACCACCCATAAAAAAGAAAGTGGTATTTTAATCACTTTAAACTACCTTGAAATGCTTTGCTGTGATTTTAACACTTTATGCGAATTTTTTTAGAAAATATAGTCTATTGATGTTTAAGTAGTCCCTGCCCCTCATGCCTAAAAATCTGAAATTTTTAGATATAAAATCCTCTCTGAGTGTTTCTCCCCCCTTTTATTTAACTTTGGTATGACTGACTGCATCTTTATGCTTCAGAACAAAATTCTGGATAGCCATATTACAGACTATTCAGTTTCTGATTTTGAAGAAAGAGCAGTTGTTTTTTATAAAGTTAACTGCCCAAGGGCAATGTGTTAAGAGTAAAATTTAAGGGAAAAGGAAAATGACCCTGGTCTTGTTCAACACTGCTGTAAATCATGGCAATTCTAAATCAGGTTTGAGCTTTTTTAAAAAATAAATTGTCTTGACTAAAGAGTTTGTACAAATGTGATTCTAGGAGACAGCTCATCACTTATAAAGCCAAGGAAGCTAGAAAAGAAAAATATTCATTTAATACCTATAGAACCAGAAAGCTTAGTTTTCTTTTTTTAAAAAAAGTCCATTTACAAATAAAAAATAAGCTTTAGCTTTAAATTGTATTTTAGTAAATGATTCCAGAGTTAGAACATTCTAATCCATTTGGAAGTAGCAGACACTGAGGGTCTCTCTCCATGAACAAAGTGGCCGTACTCACCTCCTCACATGATACAATAGCTTTGAAAATCTTGTGACTATCTGGCATATACCTTTGAGATGAAATCTCACTCAAGCAAGAAATTCTGACTCTAGACATTTTTCAAATGTGCAGGTATATAAAATTCTGGTAATGCTAGGACTAATCCATAGTTGGGAGAATGAAAGGAAGGGTGGCAGGGACTCAGTGTTGTCCTTTTCTCCTTAGGTGATGCGTCCAAGGAAGACATTGACATCGCTATGAAGTTAGGAGCTGGGTACCCCATGGGGCCATTTGAGCTTTTAGATTATGTTGGGCTGGATACTACAAAGTTCATCATGGATGGTAGGAATTGGAATTTTCTGTTGTTTTTCTTTAATTGAGTTGAGATAGTTTCTCTGAAGTCTGAATTACAACATCAACTTAAGACAGAAATAATATAGGGTCTTAGCAAAAATCTTCCAATGTCTTGCTCACTAGATTGAAGATTCAGGTTAACAGAGGTCAGAAGGAAGAATGTGACTGCCTAGTGTCTCTTAACAGGGTAACCTCTTTTTAAAAAATGTTGAAATAATTATGAATTCACAGAAAGTTGCAAATACAGCACAGACATTTCTATGTACCCTTCACCCAGTTTCCCCTAATGATTATATGTTACATAACTATGATGCAATGTTAAAACCAGGAAATTGACATTGGCACACTGGTAAATAACATGAATTTATTTGTGTAACTTCCATTGCAATCAAGATATACACCATTTTTAAAAAATGTGTCCATTTTAATGTAGTACTTCTGCAGATAGAATAAAAATAATTATTAAAACTGGACTACTAACGTTGTATGTACAATTCACAAGTTTCATAAAGAATACTTATTTGGGAGGATCTGTAAGTGCTATAATTGAAGCGTTAAATTTTGAATTTTATGAGTTTGCAAAATAGTAGTAGTAGGAATTCAGATTTTTAACATGTATTCTGAAGGGATTCCATTAGTGTTCTTGGACCTTTGGAGGAGATTGGATAGATGGGAGGGCCACCACAGGCCCTGGCATAGAACAGCATGCCTGCTCTGGGGTGGCCTTAGTGGCCGTGATGCCCAAGAGGCTCTCCCACATCTGCTTAGAGACCCTCCTACCCAAGCTGTGCCTCCAGACTTGCCCTGGAAATGTCAAGGATTAAAAATAAACCCAGCACTTTATCATAAGACCTTTTCTCTCCTTTCAATAGGATGGCATGAATTGGATGCAAAGGACCCCCTGTTTCAGCCCAGCCCATCCTTGAATAAGCTGGTAGCAGAGAAGAAGTTTGGCAAGAAGACTGGAGAAGGTTTTTACAAATACAAGTGATACGCAGCTTGTCTGGCTCTGAGAAGAACCCCCGTGAGCGCTTACCAGCCAGCACATCCAAATGCCCACAGGAATGCTCTTTGGTCAGACATTCCCTCACACAGCACAGCCTGTTCGATGTGCATTTTGATTGTAATCTGTCTGAAGTAATTATTTACACTAGTCACAGTAGTAACAGATCCTGCCATTGAGAATGAATTCTCTTTTTATAGTCTGTTCATTTCTATGTATTTTCTACAAAGCTTTATACCGTGGGTGCCTTAGAGCAAACCTTTCTTTTTAACCTTGTCACTTTTGTAAAGAATTGCCTGAATTCATTCACTCATGAAGGGGGAAGTCCATCCTCTGTGAGTGAGACGCTGGTCATTGGCGCCGCACAGGGGTGTTGTGAGCCATTGGCACTGACGTGGTGTCTGTGAAGGGCTGCCACAGGCAGCACCCTAGCCTTGCCCTTCTGAGAGCATTTTGCTGCTGCAGCTTCAGCCTTACCTACTTCTGGGCACAACATAAGATGTTATGTCTTTATTCAACTCATCATTAAGATGCTGCTGCTGGATTGGTGGGACTATCTGCAATGCTTGGTTTTCTGGAAGAGGTCTGTTTCCATGGTCCTTCAGATCCATAAATCTTAATGATTACTATCTTTTTCCCCCCATGAGAAATCAGTGTTGCAAACAGCCTATAAATTGATTCATGAAATATAATCTCTTAGTCTGTGAAAATTCGACTTGAAATAAAAATGTATAATTTAAAATTCTAATATGCTTAAAATGATTATAAAAGTAAAAGCTTGATAATTTAGACAGAAGTTTTTCCCATCTTTGCCCTACCATTATTTTCTAAAGAAGCAATGTTGGGACAGGAATGGCAGGAGAAAGCATTTGTGAAAAACCTGTCTGTGGCTGTCACTGCCAGATTTCTTACCGGTAAAGTAGTAATAACAGCACAGAGAGCGATTTTTAAGGAACATCTGTTTCTTCTTTGCCAACACAGTAAAGTAGTGTAACATAAGCTTCTTTTAATCATTGGCTTGAGAAAGTGTCTTCCAAGATAGAATTTGGGGGTTGGAAAGACATCAGAAATCCTGAGGTCCAGCGGTCTCATTAGGAGAGAGCTTAAGTGATGTGCCCAAAGTCACGAGATATTTTATAGCAGAGCCCAACTTAGAACTAGGTTTTGATGATACAAATAAATAAAATAGCAAATTCAGAAATCTAAAATCCAAGCTTTTGGACCGGACTGTCTCCAAAATGAGTGTCCTTGTTTGGTGTCCTGAATCATAGTTCTATTAACTGAGAAGGTTTTTTCATCTCATTTGATAAAAAGGAACTTATTAATTAAAAAAATTAAATCTATAGTTACTATACTACAGGTAGCGGTGTGCATTTTTGCCATCCACGGAATCTGGTTTGGGACACAGTTTCTTCTGGCATTGGACATTGCCATTTCCATCACTAGAGGTTACCCTTGTAGTCTGATGGCTCCTTGCTTTCTCTCAGGCTGGCTTTTGACCTCTGCCATCAGCCCTGGGCAAGAAGAGTGCTTCACTTACACACACTCTGGCCAGAGTTGCCAAATGATTTGGGCCTCTGTTTTGGAAGTGGCAGGGCTCTTTCTTGACCCCTGAATTCCAAAAAAGAGCATAACTCAGCCATGTGACTCTCAGCCTGCCAGGGCAAGAGGATGGACATTGCAGCCGTCTTTCTGGCTGATATTTCAAAATGCAGTTTTAGCCTAGTAGATAGTCAAAAGGCCTGACCTCTGAATATCCTTTTATCATTTCCAAGGAACTTTTCCCCGCACCATGCCCAGGACCAGAAAGGGATTTTGAACATCATCCTCGTCTTAAATGTGGGAGGTGGAAAGTGGCTCTTTCTTTCCAGACTCTGCATTCTTGCATCCCCAGGTGAGGACAGCTGCTTCCCACAGAAGAGTTGTGTGGTGAGAAGGAAAGGCTTGTCAGTCAGGTCCTCTATTTCTCAGGCCAGCTATTACTGTTGGCTGCAGGCTATGGTTGAAAACCCAGCTGCCAGTGCCTTGTTTTCCTGCACTGTTTTGGCAGCACTTGTCAGGGGGAAGGGTGAGTCCAGGCAATGCTGCTGGGCCAGGCTGCTCACCTGGGCTGCTCCTCACCTCCTGACCTTGCCTCCTTATAGCAACCATGAATCTCTCATGACAGTGATAATGACCAGGTTTTTATGTCCAGAAAATATTTTTTTTCTCTCTCCTCTATTTCCTCTTAGTGATAATTATATTTTTATAATAGAAGTGAAAATCTGAGATTAAAAAAAAAAACTATTCAATTTATAAAATGTTCAAGATAAGCCTCTGAGTATCGCCATCAGCCAGACTTCATTTATGTTCAGTAAAATGGAGTTCTTTGAAGGACAACTTTAATGCTTAGGAAGATGTCTTTGTAAAATAAGTTATGGTTCTTTAATTTTCAGAAGATTCACTGTTAATAACTGTATCTTAAGGGAAAGATGGTTGTTTAATTTCTTCTGACATCAGTTGTAAGGTATATTTCCAGTGTTAAACAGGGGTAAGATGAGGTTCAGGTGGACCCAGGCTTTGGAACTGGGAACTTAGGGTATACAAATCTTGTGTTGTGAAATGATTCTCCACTAGGTTCTACTAAATAGCAAGTTTTTGTGACAAACACATCAGCTTTCAGAAACCTATTTGAGATTCAACCACTTATTGCTGAGAAGGTAGAACCAGGATGTTAGTCACGGCATCTACAACAACACACTAATTAATGCTTTCTCTCTTTGTGAATTATGCTGTCCAAACATTTGAAACAAGCTTTCTTCTTGTCCCACCTTGATTTTAATACCCTTAACATTTCAATCAAAGTAAGTCTACGAAAAATACAACGTGTGGCTGTAATTTTTCTTTTTTAAGAGACAGAGTCTCATTCTGTAGAATGCTATGGCAGCCTAGCTCACAGCAACTTCAAACTCTTGGGCTCAAGCGATTCTCTTGCCTCAGCCTCCCAAGTAGCTAGGACTACAGGTGCCTGCCACAATGCTTGGCTATTTAGAGATAGGGTCTTGCTCTTGCTGAATCTATCTCGAACTTCTGAGCTCAAGCAGTACAACCCGCCTCAGCTCACACCTTCCTATAGGTGTGAGCCATTGTGCCTGGCCTGGTGTGGCTGTACTTTTATGAAACTAATTTCCTTGTAAACAGGCATTGATGCTACATAAAAATCTAAAAAAATGCCTTGAACAATGCAATCATTGCTGTACATTCAAGACTATACTTTGAAACAACCCATTTCCTTGTATAAATTCTAGTTTTTAAATTGGTCTCAATGTTTATAATCAGATTTTATGTCTATTTTAGCAATTTTTTCTTAGCTATTATTTTGAAATGGCAGAACAAAGTTTAACTCCTGAAAGAGAACTCTATCACTGACGCTAATTCTATTCAACATTTTATAAATAAATCACCAGCTATAGCTGCTGCAGGATTAATCAGTAAAACTAATTAATACCATGGGCTTGGATGCTAAACAGACCTGAGTTCTAGTTCAGCCCCATTCTCTTTACCTATGTAACCTAGAGATTTTATTTTCTCTGGACATAACTGGTAAAAGGAATATAAGGATGGAGCCCCTATCCTATTAGGTTGCTTAAGTGAAATGGTGGCTGTGGAGTGGTGCTGAGCACACTGCCTGGCACATGCAGGCCCACTGTGAAGGGAGCTGAGTAACTATGGGGGTCACAGATGGCCCTGAGCAGTTTGCACCTGGAGGAGTGGGCTGAAGATGGGGAACAGCTGAGTCTCTTATAAAAGAATCCCAGAAGTTAAGCTGTTGGGCCACTTGGGCAAAAAGACGAGTGTTGGATCTCTGTCCTCCACCCCACAGCTACTTGGGAAGGTCTTTCCCACCTTCTGAGAGGGCCTGGTCTGTGTTAGTCAGAAATGGGCGATACACAAGGTCCAGTGGGCTGGAAGGGGTGGCTGTCACTCAGGCAAGTTACATTCCATGCATGAAAAGTGGACTAGATGACTTAAGACTCTGGGGGTGGGGGTGGGGGGAAGTGTAGAGGGGAGAAGTTCCCAAGAGTCTTCTAACAGGGTAATTAGAGAAGTAGTGATAGAGGAACAGGAGTGGAATTAAACTTCATCCTATTGTAATGTTGTTTTATATGACCCTGGGGGAGCTTCTAAAGATTTCTTCTGGGACAAAATTGTGGGAGTACCCATTAGGTCTGTTTATTAATTAAGTCAGACAAGGAACCAATAGCAATTAGGGGCTGACAATTCATTGTCAAGGAAGGCAGAGGCTGATGTAACTTAGACGTAAACTTGTCAAGGCAGAACCCCTGTGTGTGACAGTGACAATCCAGGCCTTCATGGTGCCAAGAAGCTGTGGCTTCCGAATGTGGGTCTCCAAACCTCATTCCTGTACTTACTGGAATATTCTACCCCCAAATGCAGCCTGTCCTCAGGCAAGCAGGTATTAGAAGGGAAACCTCCTTGTGAATAGCTACTTGACTTAGAAATGGTAGGTGTGGAAGACAGGAAACTGGGAGACCTCCAAACTAGTAGTAGGAGAGGAAGACATTTTTGAAACAGTTTTCTACTTGGAGCAGCTCAAAGAAACCCTCAGTGCCTCCTTCTAAGGCCATGGGAAGGCAGTTTTCCAGAGTCCTTCAGCCTCCATAGTGAAGTTGTAGGGAAGGGTGATGGGGGAGAGCAACCTATCCCTCCACCACACTGATCTGTTAGGATCAAGGGAGGTGGAGTGGAAAGCCACTGTCTGGCCCCGAAGTCTGCACAGTGGGTGGAGACGTCAGGTCATGTACACGCTTGTCCTGGCTTGAGCCGGCTGTCCTGTCAGCGCGTGCTGCCATGGAGACTGCCCCTACCTGGCACTACATTCTTCCGAATCTTAGGCCCAAGGTAAGAGTATTAATACTTGATTATTTTCCTGTTGTCCTTCCTTTAAGTCTTGTATATGTGCTGAAAGTTGTCTTTTGCTAAGACAGATAACTATTAAATAGTTTATGGCATCCTTTATTCAAATTATAGCTAATCCCGAATGTCAGGTCCCCTGAGAAAGGACAGCACCCCTCATTCATGTGACGTGCAATTTGCAGCCCCTGGCCCTCTCCAGTGAACCATGCTTTTCTGGGGACTCCGTGCCCCCACAGTCCCTGATCACCACCAGAAATCGCTCATCCCTGCCGGCTGGTGAGACCATGCTGGAGAGGTGCTGTTCTGAGAACAGACCATCATTCTGAGCAATCTGAGGCTAAAGGTCGCAAGGCTATGATACCAGCCTCTCTCACCAGTCGAAAGCAACTGGAAGTGGGGTGCTTCTCACAAGGGCTGCCTGGGTGTTTCAGCTCCAGGACCAGGCACTGAGGATCGCACAGCCCCAGTCAATTGGAACCTGAGAAGTGACAGCCTGTGGCAGATGCCATCATGTGGCAAACAGATGAGACTGCTCACAGGCACTTCTAGGCGTTGGTTGGCCCAGCTGTGTGACGCGCTGCCGGGTGTCTGGGGGACAAGCCTGGGTGGGCTGGGGGACCAGCCTTGCCTCTCTCCAGAGCAGCCGTGGGCATCTGACCTCACCATGAAAGGACCTGCACCCACAATGTGGCCAACTTGTGTGGCTGTTTTACTGGGTTGTCTCATTTGTCTTGCTGGGAAAATATCCTGGCATGGAATGTAGTTAAGTGATCCATCAAATTCAAATTCTGAGACACATTAAAGATGGAGACGATGACTAGGCCACTGATTCCACTGTGACTGCAAGAGGATGTGTGATGACATTGAGTCTTTGTATGTCATGTTCTCTTTCCATCTGGCAAATACATTTCTTACCAATTTTTCCCACATACTCAATGGAGATAGAACTTTTTTTTTTTTTTTTTTTTTGAGGAGTCTAGAGTCTCACTTTGTTGCCCTTGGTAGAGTGCTGTGACACAGCAACCTCCAGCTTTGGGGCTTAGGTGATTCTCTTGCCTCAGCCTCCTGAGTAACTGGGACTACAGGTGCCCACCATAACACCTGGCTACTTTTTGTTGCAGTTTGGCCGGGGCCGGGTTCGAACCCATTACCATCGGTATATGGGGCCAGCACCCTACTCACTGAGCCATAGACGCTGTCCAGAGATAAAAAAATTTAATTTAGCTATTATAGATTAAGAAAAATATTTAATGAACACATCAGTATAGATGACCCCATAAAATCCAGACTCTGCTCCTTTTATCTAAGTACTTTCTTCATTCTGAGTCCAAAACAGATCTGTTAGTCCTGCTCACCAACTGCTTTGCTGGGCAGAAGAAACGTGCTCGTGTGTTTGATGGCTACAAGTAATACAAAAACAAAAAATGTTTTTACATTGCACACAAAAAGCATGTTTTCTAGCACATAATGAAACAGTCCAAGAAGAAATTCATTTATTAGTCATTTCCTATCTGCCAGCATTTCTTTCATTTATTGCTCACCATACCTTAGCAGAAGTCGGTGAAGAGGAAGCGTGCAGAGGGGTGAAGCGTGCAGAGGGGTTTAGCGTGCACTGCCCAGCAGCGGACTCTGCTCAGCTCTGTGGGACTCCGTACCTGGGCCTTCCCTAATCCCACTATGCCGCCTTCTTCCAAAAATAAGAACCTATGTTTTAAAATCTATATTACCACTCAGGGAGAAGGATGATGCATGTTGTAACAGATGCAGACAGTAAACCATCTCACAATTAAAAACATTTTTCTGGCATACATTTAATTGAATATAGCCAATGGGCAGGTATTGGTGAAAATGTATCAAATGAGTGCCATTATCTCCAAGTTTACTGTGACCCACAACATTGTGGATGAACAATGTCAGCATTTTTTTTTTTTTCAATAGCAAGTAAACAGCCAGTTTTCAATTAAATTCTCAAGTTCCCTGAGCCACTTCTGGCTGTAGAGTAAGATAATGGGAGTCTTCCAGTGGGAGAGTTACAGAAGTTTACAACAGCAGCTTCCAGAACGATAACCACTAAATGATAGCCAGGAGAACCATCTTTCAATACATCTATAATAAGTGGCATTTTAGTATTAAGATGCTTCACTGCAGTTAAATTTTACAGTTTCTATTACAAAGCAGTCAAAATTTTCATGTGTGTGTATCCTCAGAAATTTCATAGGGCAGGTCTTACAATTCCCCACACAGAATGTATGGGAGATAACATTCTGTGTCAGTAGTAAAGATAATTTGTTAAACAACTACTACATCATGTAGAATTTTAAGTTTCTCTTTTCTGTCAAACCCATACATTACTCTCATGAGTTTTCTTTTTTAAAAGGAAAACCACACAGACATCTTGTTATTGCTCATGGTCCTTTATTAGGGGTTTCCATATTGTTGTGGCCTTAGACCAAACTACAGAGGAAAAAATTATTCTACTTCAGACACTGTAGTCATGAAACAGTCAGTGGAAAGGCCCCTTCCAGCTAAAGAGGTAGTTGCCAGCAAACCTAGCAACCAAAAAAAAAAACCAGGAGGAAAACACCCCTTCTCATGGACCAGCATGCCAGCCGTGACCTCAGAGAAGGCTTGGCTCCCAGAAAGAAGGCTGACCCATCCTCTTCTTGGCACGCTATTTAGCTCTGAGGTTGCTGCAGGGAAGGAAGCCAAATCCTCCAAGATCAAACAGAAGAAGTGGCTGGAGGAGTGTCCCTCCCCACAAAGACCCCCTTTGGTCCCTATCTCTAGGACCTGACTGTCCTTCCCCAGAGCTGCTGCTACAGCAGCAGGATTTGGGCAGAATGGACTGGGAATGAGCACTGTGCAGTGACATCAAAGTTATTTGGGGGAAATTCTTCAGGAGGAAATGTAGAAAACTAGGAGGGTACCAAGTTTGTGGAAGGAGCAACTGGCTCCGGGGGGCCAAATAATCCATTTCTTTCAACATTGTTTCAACTCATTTAGTAGGTCATAAAAATGTAGAGGAGGAACCAAGGCAGAAAAGAATTGAGTGGGCATTAGTCAAGCATTGAGTCTCAGATATGTATCCTACTATGTCTGTGGCCTTGATAACAGACTTCTAATATTACTAATTGCTTTCATTTTTACATCCAGAAGTGCCAATCAAAGTGTTGCTATAATCTTAAAAGCAATACTTCCATGTCACCAACTATCCTATTTTGTTGGATTTTTCTAGTTCACTCTCCAAAAGATCATGGTGGCAACTTTAAAGAGCTTCAACTACTTGGTTTGTATACATTAAGAAAACTCAAGAGATGCTTTTCAAATGAAGTTCTGGCTGGGCTTGAATATGAAAACTTTCTAACTAATAGATCCCCTCAACATAATACTTTTTTTTCTTGGTTCAAGTTTAGTACTAAATGAAGAAGAATTGAAGACGTTCCAGAGGATAGTAATGAAAATGATTAAAGAACTGATGATGAAAGGTTCAAGGAAGTGGGATTACTTAGCCCGGAGAAGAGAAATTTGAGGGGTGATTTAATGGCAATCTTCAAGTACAGTATGTGGAGGTTATTACAAGTATGGCAGCCAGCTGTTCCCCAGCTGTACTCAGAGTTAAAAGAGGGAAACAAAACTAGCATTTTAGCAAGAGAGATTTAAGTTAGAACAGTGATACCAGTGGTTCTCAAAGTAATTCAAGGGATAGAAAACCACTGTGGAAGATCATGAAATATTGATGTTTTAAACTTAAAATATATATTTTTAACTAAATCAGATACCAACTTATATACTAGTACAACAAAGAGTATAATAGAAGTTTAAGGTAAGATTAGGGATTGCAAACTCAAGAATGAGAAAATGTTGACTCTAGGGAGATGGACAGAAGTTAAGACCTTTGTTCACTGCTGGGACCTCATGATTTGGGGGGCCCAATTTGAGAACCAGTGAGCTAAGAGGAGGGATGGTAACTGCAAACTTGCAATGAGCACCACAACCAGAGGGCAAGAGCTCACGAGGATCTGAAGGTGCTCGGGAAGGAAGAGGCTCACTCCAATCTCAATCCTGGTGACCTTCTTTCTTTTGACCTTGGTTTTTTACATATGCACCTGGAGGAGGCCCACGCTATACAAATAGTTTTGAACATTGTATGCCAACTAGGCAGGGAAGGTGCCCTGTACAGCAGGGGTGGCCTGTCCCCAGGGCAAGCTGTACCAGTGGCACTTCTCTGACAGGGGTAACTCCCTACCTACAAACCAGCTCTGGCATGGCCTGTGGATTTAATTCATTACCAACTCTAGATTATGAGCAGTTTCACTCTTAATCAAGTGACACTTTTTTTTTAAATGTTTTATTACAAAGCTTCTTTTAAAAAATGCTCAGCACATTAACTCAAACTGGAATGACAAACGTTAGATGACAGTTTGGGGCAAAGGCTGTGCCTTGCTATTTTAAAAAATCGGTACATCAATGCTCATTTTAACAACTGGCATAAAATCCCACTAATTGGCTAACAAAAACAGATACAAATACAGAACATTTAAAGTAATAACAATTCAAGTGCTGGGCTTTTTACAACAAGGGGGTAAGAAGGAAAGAAATGAAAATTCACTGCAAACTGGACTGCTGGATGCATGTGTTAAGATTTACTGTTTAAAAAAAATCAGAAGAAAAAAATAAAGTGAAATGCAACTGCCAATTGCTACCAACAGAGTGGATGTGGCTATTACAATTGTTTAGCTCTACCGAACACCTTTTACAAAAAGGGAGAGAAGCCACTATTTGTTACAGGCAATTCAGAGAAGCCACTTTATTGGACAAGCTATCTTCAGAAAAAGGCTTCTTTTCATTTTTATTTCAAACTTTTTGAGACCTTAGAATTTTATTTAAAAGCTCATAGCTAGCAAAATATACAATAAGAAAATTAAAACTAAAAAGTGTAAATTAAAAAAAATTCAAGTTTAAAAAAAAGCAAACTTAAGAATGATCCTTTTGCACTGTTAAATAAAAGCTTTAGGAGAAAGGAAGAAAAGAAAAATGAAGACAGAAACAAAGAGGGAAATCTTCCACAAATTCCTCCGCTGGGATGCTGATGGATGTGCTGGCTGCTGGCTCCAGTTGCGCGTGGCAGGCAAATGCAGCCAACTTATTGTCCTTGCCAAAAGGTTACAGGTATGGACGCAAGATGCTCTGGGAAGTGCACGCAGAGATGAGGGGAGAAAAGCTGCTCAGCTGACCCAGGGCCCGCTAGCATTCTCATGTGCTTTTCAATTTCCTTAAAAAAAAAAACCAAAAACCTTTCTTATGCTTTATTTTGGAACTTGGCTCTTGCAGTAGACGAAGGGGGGATCTGGCAGTGATTGTCTTTATGGATCAGCGTCTCTAGCAGTGACCTCAGGGTAAAGTTGGTGTCAATGTTCCTTTGGGGTCGACTGGGCAAGCCATGGAGACAGTCTAGGTTTTCAACAAGCTTCCATCTCCAGAAGAGGTCCTGGGGTTGCTGCCTTGGCTTTGCATGTTGGGAAAGAGCTTCGTTTTCCACCTCAAGAAGGAACAAATGAAATGCTATTAATATGAATTTGCCCTAGGCCTTTAAAAGACTGCAATCTTTATTTCACACAGCACATGTCATAAGACCTCTGCATTTAAATTAATCCATTTTGTTGACTTGGGAATGGCTCAAGGAAATTGGCCCATGGTAGGCCAATTACAGCATCCATTACAGAGTTAAGTGGAATGTACTGAAAATTTTACTTTGGTTCCACATATATATGTACAGGACATGTTTTGTCCACCCATGTTCACACTCTGAGATGTATAAGCCTCTTCATTCGTACTTGAGACTTTATTATAATTCT